TGCCAGTTCCCGCCTCACGGACATCACCAGGGGTTGGACGCCCACCGAGCGAGCTCCAAGGCTGCTGGTGGCCTGCCTGCGGGACGGCACAGCCACTTGGGCATCGCGCCTCAGGGCTCAGCGCCGCCTCCCCTGAATGCCGGCGTGCTGGTCAGGGGGCAAACCCCATGCATGCTGAAACAGCTGGTGCTGGTGGTGCTGGGCGAAGCCACGCTCCCTCTGCTGCTGGTCAAGGTAGACTTAAAAGCAAAACGGTGGAGAAACGGAGGGGTGGCAGAGGGGTGCCCAGCGCCTCAGCAGACACTTCTGCTTTGCAGCATTAGGCTGCTGGCAGAGGTGGAGGGGGAGCGGTGGCCTCGAGAGGAGCAGAGCCCTCTCCCCGCAGGCACGGTGCCTGCCCTCTGCACTGCTGCTCACCTCCAGCAGTGTTGGCTCTGGGTCCTTGAGCTGACCCCACTTTCAGTGTCCCAACTCCAGACTGTTAATCTGTAACTAATGTGTTCTTTTTCTGAAATTTTCAAACTGATGTATATTTTAAGACCAGAAATAAACTATTTTAAAAGTAGGTTGCAATGGCTATAATGTTCCCCCTTTTGGTTAAGACCTGGACCGATGCTGAGCATGTGAGGGAGGACAGCCTCTGGTGGTACAGTGTCCCAGGTTTGCTCCAGCTGCCTGTGCCACCCATGAGCTCTCCCAGGGAGAGCAGTCCTGGGACCTGACCTGTAAGCTTTGCAGGAGTCTGTGAATTCACTGGTCAGCTGGAGTGCCCGCTTTAGCAGCAGCCTGGTTCAAGGTGTTTGTGCAAATCAAGTCATCTGTGTTGGAGATGAGGAGCCGTCCCATGCAAGGAGATGTGATGCATGGATGAGCGGTGTTCCACGTATCCAAGCTCTGGAAACTGCTCTCTGGGTCTGAATGCAGACAGTCAGCTCAGATCAAGCCTGCAGACCAGAATCTGCCGTTCACAGCAGCACTCGTTTCGCTTTTGACTTGGAGGCTGACAGGGGCTTTAAAAGAGGGCAGATTGGGTTTTTAATGTTTCCCAGAGTTGCCTGGTTAAATCCTGTGGGCAATTTTCACACTATTTGAGGGCTGTAAAGGCTAGGCTTGTTCTGCCACAACCTCTGCAGCGAAGCCTGTTGTGCTGTAAGCAGGTTCAGTGTTACACAGAAAATTCTGCCTACTCCATTTGAAGTATTTTGCTGGCCTGATCTGTGTCTTGGAAAAGACCTCCACATGTTGATCTAGGATGAGGTGTAGCTAATCCTTTTAATATTTGTTGGTTTTCCTGAAGCCCCTGCTCTCACAGGTGTGAGAGACTATCAGGTCTCCATTTCAGAAACTGAGTTATGTGGGAATGTATAACATACCCCCCCTTTGGAGTTCACAAGAGTTTTATAATTTTAGTGTCCGTATTTTGTGTTTTTTCTTTGTGTGGAGAGGGAGGACTGGGGTTGATGGGACATACCCCAGATAGGAAGCCCTCCAGGCATGAGAGAGAGGGAGTTCCTGTAGGATGCCGATATGGACATTTGGAAACGTTTCCTTTTCGTGTTGAATGGTGCTGCAGAGGTCAGAGGGCGGTGATGAAATTTCGTCTCCCAAATTAATGCTGCTTGTGCCCTTCTGACCTAGGTGTATGCAAAGCCTAACACAGGAACAGTTTCTTGTTTCTTTGTCCCCATAATTAACGATTTTATTCTGTGTTCCCTTGAGTAGCAGCTGCTGCCACAATTAAATTTTCCAGCCTAATCTGAGCCTTGAAATGTGATCTTCCTTGCCTAGCTCTGGCAAAGGGCTCTTGGCCAAGCAGTGAAGCCTGTGGTGCTGGTGCGAGCTGAAGCCTTCAACCACAGGGTACGTGGCTGGTGCCAGGCTCCCTGCAGGTGGGTCTGGTCTGGCCCTCTCCCTCCTGGGCAGAAGGCCTCGGGGACAGCAAATTGATCTCTGACTGACTGACTGGCCGCTGTAAGGACAGAGAAAGCCCGCAAGTCGGGCGGGCAGCGGGGGTGAGGGGCTGCTGGCAGCACTCTGAGCCCCCCAGCACAGCTCCTGCCTGCTGCTGGTCCCTACTGGTGCCTGCCCCAGTGGGGCAGTGGAGTGACAGAGGCTCACACTGCCACGAGCGGTGCCACGTCTGTGACCTTTATAAAACTCTCATTGTGGCAGCAGTACAAGCAATAGAAAGAACATCTCTTATACACATCTGAATAAATACAGCTGGTGCCCTGCGGGCACAGCCGGGCGCGGGGGGGAGGCAGGGCAGCGTGAGCTACACATGCAGCGACCGGACAATCACAAGCAGCCGACGGGGTGCGTGACAACACAGAGACACGTGTAGAGATTCGCTCGGACCGGGCTCTGGTGCTCAGAGAGCCGAGGGAGGCATCGACAGGAACATGGAATCGTGAGAGGATGGCTGGGGCAGGCCACCGGAGGCTGAGGGGCTAGCGGACACACGCTCCTCCGGCGGGCACGGTGCTCTTCTCAGCAGAAGCAGGCAGGGTAGCCCAGCTACATTTCTGTTTCTGCTAAGAGGCTGTCACCAAGACCTGACGTCATCAGGACCATCTGGGAGCTGGAATCTGTGGAGAGAGAGGGAGAAAACCATGAGCCACTTGGGCCGCTGGATAGCGCAGAGCTGTACTCCAGATCCAGAGGTGAGGATGAGGAATTAGAGCAAATTGCTGAGAGGATTGTGGGATTAAGTAGTAACTGGGTCTACTCTGGCCACGCAGCAGAATGGAATCGATGTTTGGGGAGGGCGGGAGGCAGAGACAGCAGCAAGAACCCAGGGTGCGGATCTGCGTTTTCTGTCTTGGCTGTCCAGAGGAGGAGCAGCTCTGAACGCTCCCCACACGCGCTTGCAGGTGATACAGGTTGTGCTGTGCCATGCCCTCACCCAGCCCTGCGGAGACATTTAATGCCACACTCACCAAGTGTCTTTTTCAGCTACAGGGACAGTGTCCAGGTGGGCTGGGCTGGCAGGCCCCAAGCCAGCCAAGCCCACGTAGGGTGGTGGTGGTGCCTTCCCAAGAGCAGGGAACGGCAGCCAAGCAGCCATTTTATGGCAGCAGAGGCCTGGAAATCCTGACTTTCTGCGCTGCGTGAATGGAGGGTTTGCGCAGCCCTGCCCTGCCTGCCCCAGGAAGGTGAGGGCAGCTTGCCGGCTCTGCCACGGGCGCAGAGCACCAGCCAGGAACGCTGCAACTCTCCCCCCACCAAGGGAATCGGCTGCAAGGAGGATGGGCACACATAGCAAGTAACTAACTCAGCAGGGCACCAGTTTCCCATCCAGAAGCCTTTTTAAACAGAAAAAAAAATTGGTTTTTCCTGGATGTGAGGGAGGAGACCTTTAATGCCCATGTATTTCAGATCCAGAGTTCTACACAGTCAAGGCTGCTGCGTGGGATCTCTATTTTGGGGATCAATTTCTGGAAACTGGATCTAAAACTTGGCCACAGCTGTCAGTAAAGGAATTTTATGGCTCTAGTAAATGAGAATCCAGATGTTTTGAGGCCCAGGGAGTGGCTGTGGTTGTCTGCTGCTAGTCTGATATGAGAATTGGGAAAGGAGAAGGACAACTAAAGGTTAAAAAAAACAAACAACGAAACCAAAAAAAACCAGAACCCCAAACCACGAGGTAGGCATGACAATATACTATACCATCTATACAAACAACACACAACAGGCTACTGCTATCTCCACAATATACCTTTTTTTCTGTTACAGGTAACAGGCTGTGGCACCTGGCTAAGCCTTCACATGTTTGGGACGCAGAGATAGGAATGACTGATGCTGTGCAGACTGCAGGGAGGTTCTGGAGGCAGTGAGGAATGACACGACTTTTGGCTAGGATACCTGGCAGAGGCCCCCGAGATCTTTAATGCTCCTGCCCTTGAGTTTTAAGACTTTGCACAAAGATTTTGGTCCTGCAGCATCAGGGAAGAACACCTCTGAGGTACTGTTTCCGCTCCCTGCAGCAGCCGCATTGTCCTTGGAGGCCGTCTTTCCACACGCAGCTCAGCCCAACGCTGTTTCACGTGAAGGTTGCACCCGGAGGCTGGCTGGGTCACAGCTCACAGGGAGAAGGGACAGACCCCATTCCCCAACCCCGCCACAAGAGACCAGTGGTGCTGGAAACACCCTGGACACCCCAATTCCTGCCTGTCAGCCCCTGCCTGCAGCCCAGGTCCTGGAGCTCTTACTGTTCTGGCAGATCCAGGGGTTCTTCTCCCTGGCTGTGACTTCACGAGCCTCTGTCTCCTCCTCTTCCTCACCCTCTGAGAGCAGGTCAGATATCTGCTGCTGCAGCTCAGGACTAATGTTGTTCTCCGCCAGGATGAGTGTCCGTAGGGCCGTGGGGTAATTCTCTACCATGTCCAGCAAGGTCTGGGTGGAGAGCAAGATAAACAGGCTGGCAAGCAGCAGAAGCAGCAGCTAGGCTGAGCAGAAAGAGGTTCAAAGCTCTGTCTCCCTGCAAACTCCCACTCTCCTCTTCTTACCTCCCCCTTCCCTTAGCTTTCACCTCCCTTCAACAGGCCACCTGAGAGCCTGAAGGCTTCCCACCTCCCTTTGGGAAGTGCTGAGCCTGGATTTCCTGGTCTACTGAAAGAGGAGGGGACTGCTCTGCACTCTGTTGCTCCCAGATATCCAGGCTAGTCCCCTCTTACCACTGGGAGATGGAGGTCTGAGGGGAGAGCCTGTGCCACCAAGCCTTGACCCCATCCGTGCACAGAACTTTAGCTCTGATCCTCAATCTCAAGTCCAACCCCTTACTTCTTCCAAGAAAACCAAACTACAGATAGAGCCATGTGCCTCTCCCCACTGACCTGAAGGAGGCCCGTGCACCCTAGGTCAGAGCTGTGGCTTACGAGCTCCTCCCGCGGCTGAAAGCAATGGGCTGGGGACAAGCAACAGCACCCCAGGGTGCAGGGAGGGAAGGGGGTGTGTGTGGGCTCAGGGACTGGGAAGGAGGCAGGTATAGGTCCCAGGGCCTCTACAGATGTCCAAGACCTATGCCCTTGAGACCCCAGCGATGCTGTAGAGTAACTGCAGGTTCTCATACCTGGGCTGACTGGTTGGTAAGTCCTGTTCCCTCCAAGTCCAGAACTTCAAGGGTTCGACTGGAGGCGACAGCGACAGCAAGCATCCCTGCTACCTGGTCACCTGCGGGAGAAGCAAAATCGGGGCTGTCAGCAGTGCCTGCCGTCCCTCATGGGCCTGGGGCTGTCACAGAAACATCCTCTGTGTATTTCTGCCATAAGACAACCTCCGAATCTCAGCTCAGTTACCTTGCGGATGGTGGGGGGGGAGCTGTTAACTGAGAAAAGAGGGTAAAGGTGCACCATTTTGTGGTTATGGGAGCAGTCACTGATTATCATGGGGAACATGAAGGAACACAGTGAAATTGTTTTTATTCCCCAAGGAACCACGTCTTCCCAGCTCTCCTTCCTACTCAAGGATGCGAGGGCCTTTAACAGTCCCTGTAAGGCATCCCAGACGCAGAATAAGGAGCGGAATACCTTGGCCTAAGGGGATGTTGGAGCCGGACAGAGGACCCTGCCGCAGCTGACAGACTGCCTCCCTGGCAGACTTCTGGGGCTGGACGCAGCAGGACCGGGAGCATTAAAGATTGATGCTGGTGAAGAGACAAGACTCTGGCGTGCTCTCCTGACATTCCCCAGTGACTGTCAAGATACTGTACAACTGTAACACCTTCTTTTGGAAAAAAACAACCAAACAGGTTTCTGTCAGATGACACCCTGGGGCCTTTCCTGCCCACGAGGAGGCACCTGGTCAGACAGACAGGGCCTGGGGAGGCTCTGTTTGCAGAGGGGGAGAGGAGGGGAGCATCCTGCCGATGCTCAGGGAGGCATGGCCTGGTCTCCTCACCACCTTGCAGCAGAGCTGGAGAGGAGTTGGTTTCTATGGCAACCAGTGCCAGGCTCTCCCCCTCCTCCTCCTCCTCCCTGCTCTGCCAGGAAGATGAAGAGGGGAGAGCAGGGACATACTGCATCTACAAAGCCAGCATCGGCGCCCAGGGCTTCAGGAACAGGGGAGACATGGAGGGTCAAATGTGACGACAAAGGCGGTGGAGCGGGCAAGGCACAACCTCCTTTCTGCGCTTCCTCGCAGGGCACATGGCCACCTCACACAAGTGGAGCAGCAAGGCTGGCTTGCCCTACAGCCCAGGGCACCTGGCAGGGTACACTCGCTGCCAGGGATCAGAACAGAAGGGACCTATGCAAGAATCTGCCCCATCCTGCTGGTGATGCTCTGCCACCCTTCTAGAGCTCAGTCCCTGGCCGCCCACTGCCACGAATCACGCCAATGCTGAGAGGCAGGAGTGCAGCGTGCCCTGCTCCTCCTCCCTGGCCCCCCAGCTTACCTAGGGGGTTGTAGTCCAGGTTCAGCACGCGGAGCTGTGAGCTGTGAGCCACTGCAATGGCCAGGCGTCCCCAGCCTTTGCTTGTGACGCCTGGGTTGGCACTCAGCGTTAGCTCTTTGAGGCCTGGAAAAGAGAGAGAAGCCAAACCAGAGTCTTAGGGGCACCAAAACGGTCTCAGGGGAACCAGTTCAGCTAACCAGAACAGCCTCGAGTCATGTCCCCTGCAGTCTGATGGGCTAAAGGGTTTGGTTTGCTCTGACAACTGTCATCACATATTTCACTGATCAGTGAAGTATTTCACTGCCTTCAGCCCTAGCCCTTCATCTGCCCATGCTGTGACCACCCCGTTTCTCTGCTCTCCCAACCTGCGTCCTGCTTACCCTAAACAGCAAACACAATGGACACAAGTAAGGGGTGCGCAAGGTGACTGAGCAGGAGAAGGAGGTGGCATGAGATGACAGGTTGGAGAGAGGGTAACAGGGACAGTAGGCTCTGAAGCCTGCACCTGGGAGGGGTGGCCAGCAGAGATAACAGCCTCAGTGGCACTGTGAGCACAGAGAAGAAGGTGCCGGGGAGGGGTGGAAATCACTTTGAGAGTCAGGAGAGAGGGGTGGTGTTACCTCAGCACCTGCCAGCTCCCAGCTCGAATGGCCCACTGGCCTCTGACCACCAAAGATCATCCCCTGCAAAGACCTGAGTCTTGGCACTAAGGCTGTGACTGTGCAACTACACGCTCACAGAGCGCACTCGCAAGCAGGGACAATTCCCAGGGCACTGACAATAAAGCCAAGGCTGAGGTGGGGGAACACCATGTATTTCTCTACGGTCATTATCAACACGCAAATGCAAAATAATAAATTCAAAGCCCAAGCTGTCCCTTCCTCCAGTTTCAAGTGCTCCTGTCGGGAACCAGAAGCAACCTGTTGGTCCCTGAGCTCCCAACTGCCAGCAGGACAGATCAATCGCAGAAAGCCCATGCCTGCCCAAGGAAACTGCCCCTCTACTGCTTGGCTTTTCCGCTTTACTTAAGTTGGGGAAAGAAATTCCTCAGCCCAGGCAAGCTACAGAGCCTGCCTCCTCCGGGGCTGAGGATTTACTGCTGCGTGCATCTGCTCCATGTGAAAGCTCCACCGGTCCCTGTGCAGCCCACTGGTGCTTACCGGACTTGGCCCCGTCAGGCGGCAGGAGCCCGCAGATAAGGTTGATGCCTTCATCACCCAGCATGCAGTCTCCTAGATCCAGAGCCACCAGCGAGGGGTGGATGGAGAGAGCAGGGTTGAGGAGGGCCAAGCCTGCATCCGTCAGGGGACTCCCATGGAGGCTGCGCAGGTAAAAGGGCGAATTACCAGGGAGCCTTCCCGGGGGCTAACTAACCCGACGGGGAGGGGGAAGCAGACGAAATGAGGATGACAAATCCTAACCCCAGGTGGGAA